GTAGACAACAAGGCCATGATTGCCTTGTGTCAGGAGCACAGACTGGAGCACAGAACCGAGAACATCGCTCTGCGATACTTCCTTTCTCAAGAGTTGCAGCAGCGTGGTCAGCTTCGTCTAGTGTACGTGGCCACTAGGGCAAACACTGCTGAAATATACACCAAGGCACTTCAGTCTGGTGATCATCAACGCTTCTCTACTATTTTAGGCATTGTGCCTACTTTACCTCACTTGCTCACTGCGTGACTTTGCTTGTACTGTGATATATATATATAGCTGCATGCTTACTCTTGCTAGGCTATGATCACTGTACTATTTGTGCTCCTTATATAATACTGCATGTGAACTGGCCTTGTTGCCCTTTGCTTGTGCTCGGACTGTGTGGTGACTTTGTGATCCACCTTGAGCTTGCTCTGCTTTTCTTTTCTGGTCTTGTGTCCCCTTGTTCTCCCCCACTTCGCCTATGGGGGTGTGTCAGAATGTTATATTGCTTGCTTTGTGTAGGCTATAGTGGGGTTGCCCATAAGGGGTACACCCCAATTAGGGTCAGTTCTTGTACCCAACTGTTTCATAGTTCAATCATTCTCGTTCATTCTTCTGACAACATCGCCGACGCCCTCACCCGGCTATTTACCTATGGCTACTGCACCAACCCATTTTTATCATTGGAAATTATCAGCAATAGACTTAGGCTAAGGGAGTTTATAACGTAAAAACTGGAACAAACCGCCTCTGAGTACCAGCATACTCACTTCTACGGGAACTGCTACTGCAGGAGGCACATGACTGGATTACCTCAGGGCACTTGGGGGTCGAAACAACACGACAGCAAATGCAGTGGTATTATTATTGGCCGGAATTGCTGATCGGCGTACAGCACCGTGTGGAATCTTGCCCCACGTGTCAGGTGATGAAGAGCTCGTGCAAAAAGGAAGCGGATCAACTGCAGCCGATTTCCCAAGCGTGCATGGCAACAACTAATAATGGACTTCGTCACAGAGTTACATGCGAGCCTCGGTGGTAACGTCGCTGTCATGGTCGTCGTTGACCGACTGACAAAAATTTCGCATGAAAAAAACCGCTCGCCTGTTCATCGCCACCATCGTTCGCCTGCACTGGATACAATCTGCGATTATCAGCGAATGCAACACGAAGTTTACCTGGAACTTCTAGAACATTTTGTTGGAGCGGTTCGGGACCCGTCTACTGTTCGGCTCGTTGTACCACCTCGAAACGGGCGGTCAAACGTCGAGAACGAACCAGGCCATGGAGCAACTGATTCGCGCCACATGTGAGTTGTGACGATCCGGCAACCTGGGAGCAACAGTTGCCTCTAATCGAGTACACCCTACAACTTTGGCAAAGAGAAACGCAGATCGCCATCGCCGCCTCGTGACGTACCAGCCAAGAGACTATGTATTGCTCGACACCTATAATTTACGTCTGCCCGTCGTGCCAAACCTTCGTTCGCGCTACTGTGGCCCGTTCCACTTCAACCACGTGATCACGCCCGTTACCGCCCATCTCCTGCTACCCGCCAGCCAACAGATACATCAGCCCATCCTTCCACAACAGCCTACTTCGCCCATACATCCCAACCATGAGCCAACTACAACGCCATCGCTACATTCCATGACGCGACTTGCATCAGAGCCGATCGTCGACCCTAAGAAATTTTTTAGCCATCAGATTCACCACCCCCAATGATCTCAGAGGATTGAATTCATCGTCCGCTGGAAGAATCGCACCCCCACTGAAGTCAGTTGGTTGCCCTTGGGCAACATTGAAAACAACCCTGTCTTCTAAATGTACTTGCGAAGCCGGTGATTCCACGATATTTACGACGTTGCGTAACAGAGGGGCTTCTTGGGAAGGGGGATAATGTAAGGATTTTTGCGGCATTCCTTACCGAACACCTCATCAGTGCGTACACGACTGGCCGTTCTTCGCCCGTTATTGCTTACGCTGTTCCGCCGCCTTCGCGCGTAACATTTCGCTGCAAGCATCGCACTATTTAGCTCGCACGCACCACGCTACCGTTTGCATGTTTCGTTACAAATGCTTGCTCATGCATTCTCTCACATTTTTACTCGTTCGCCAACTCAGTGCAATCCTCTCCACCTCGATACATTGCACCCGTAACAAGTCTCCTCCGATTAGCATGGTTGCAAAAATCTATGATATTGAGAACTCTAGGCGTAACACCATATCACAACCTGTTTCTCAAAACACCAGACTAGGTCCCTACCAGGGTTAAGCCCAGCTAGCCCTCCCAGTTCCACACCCACCAACAAAGCAAACCAGTATTACCCAAACCAGCGGTTACCGCACCGTTCCTGCCAGCCAGACAGGATGACTGTTGCGGAGCATCCGTGGTTCGTATCATTCACACACTAGTTCCCAATGGGAATTGCGGTAGGGCCAGCCTGTGTCAGATTGCAGCATGCGAACACAGCTGGTGTAAACGCGGTGCCAGCTGGTCGCATGGAGGGAGGGAGGCAGGTCGCAGTTGCTCGTCTGGAAGTTTTGCACTTGAAACGCTCGAGTATGGATGTAAGCCTCACTTCCCGCATGCCTGGGGCCAAACTTTTAGGCACAGAAAATAAGCTTCTATCAACTCTTTAATGATGCGGATACTCATGCGTGCGAATCAAATAATTCAAAATCAACCTTCATTCTAACCTGCTGAACGATGAACACCAATCTCTAAATGTCTGCACCAACACTGGTGCGATAATATGTTCTGATTTTTTCTCCTGATTTTTTCTCCTGATTTTTTCTCCTGATTTTTTCTCCTGATTTTTTCTCCACATGCTCATACATTCCTCAGGTTCCCAAGCAGATGTGATTCAGACTGAAAGCTCACTCTTCCATACAATATCCGGTCAGGCGGGGACATATTCTTGCGAATTGGTTCTTCTCACACAAGCGAGCGACAGCTGGTTTGTTTCTTGGTGAAAAATCGTTCCCATCGCACCGATCGCCCGGTCGGTCGCAGAGAAAGATGAGTGCGACACTTCAGTGGCATCCTACAAATCTTTTGTGATTCGGGACTATTTTCCGACTGCTTCGATACGGTACAGAACACTTTCGCTTGGGCAAATCTCCTCGTCTCTTGCTCCCCATGTTCGAGTCTACTATCTACCATGACCCATTGTCGTCCTTCGACATGTACGCCTGGCAGGACTGACTGTGTTGTTGAAACACAGAACAACCATGCATCCGCACAACTGCCCCAGTTCGTCTCACGCACTCGGGAGAGCAAAATAAGGGCGTGTCCAACGTGTTCGTTTTCAGCCCTTGAATCACTGTTCAGACTGGAGGGTTACGGTTCATAGCGGTTAATCATGCAAACCGCTCTAAATTGCACAGAAACTTTCTCCACCGCAAATAATGAACCTCTAAACGACCTCGTGGGACACGCCCTAATGAAACTGTCCCTTGCTTGTAGGCGTAGTACAGTGGAGTTCAACAAGTATAGAGAAAGAATCCGGAAATCAGCAATCCCTCCCTATCACGTCCTCCCGCCAGTGTTTTCAGAGCCGTTGACTGTTTCTCCGCGTACAGTACAGTAGTTAATCTCCAAGCTGGCAAAGCGAGTCATCTTCAAGCTGACTCGCTTGCATCATTCCTTCCCGGTCCACCTCGCTGGCTCTCCATTTACTAGCTGCATACCTCTGGCCAAGCCATCCGTTTTTCTTCGACGACATTTCCTCGTGCCTCCCTAACTCATACTCTCACTCTGCTCGTCACTCTTCCAGCCTGTGATGCAGGGATGCCAACCTAGCGCTCCAGTTGCATCACTGCCTAGTCCACCGACCGAAGCCCTGGAATGGTCCTCCGCGCGCCTCTCACGCTTCTCAGTAACTGTCATCGGCGTCATGCCTGGCCTCTGCCTCCTGCCCTCCTGCTCCTTAGTCCCTCCCCCTTCCTCCACTTTTCTCCTCTCCTCCTCGCCCCTCTTCTCCAGCCTTCCACAGCCATGCTAACTGCCGATTGTCTTAGCTTCTCCTGGCCGTCGCTCACTCAGGTCAGCTGCTAGTAACAGATGCGCGCGCGCCAGCTTTCCTCCCAGCTGTCCGCGCACCAATTCAAATCTTCAGCCAGGCCTCTCTAACTGATTCTGGTACATTCTCAGAAAAGTTAATCAAAACCAACTGCTCTCTGCTGTCGCTCCCGCCGTCTCTGCCTCTCACGCCAGCTCCTCTCGACCTCTGCTATCCCCCGACTGCCTCCTATCCGCAGGTTACAGCGTCGCTCCGTTCCGCACACGCCCCCCGACCAAACCCTCTCTCCCAGCACCTACAGGCTCCGCACTTCCCTTGTCCGTTTCTCTCCTCTCGCGACCTGCACCGATAACGTTTCGTCGCCTTGCGTGTCTTCCTGACTGCGTGCGCGCGAGAGCGCTAACCCCTCGACCTGTGCTGGATCGCGCGCGGCTCCTACCAGTGCTGTACTTTGCAGCGCCCCGACTATTCCTGGCCCATTGTCGTACCGCCTATTCCCCTTCTTGCTTTCGCTTTCCCTCCCTCCTCATCGTCCCACCACATGGCACCGCACCTCATTGCATTGCACCGTATTGCCTCCAACAGCGGGCCGGTTTAGCGACGCGGCGGAGTCTTGCTTAGCGTGCGATGCATGATCGTCGCGTTGCGCTCGTCTATCCCGGCTGCCGACTATCCGTCTTGCAGTCTTGCTGTCAAAGCCTTGCGCGTTCATCCGGTCTTTCGCATAAGCCTCTTTCCCGCGTGTGACCCAGAAACCGTTATAACTCATGCTGTTTCGCGCGATAGGGCTCGTTGATTCTCAATACCGCGTACTTTCTATTACGATGCTACGGCGGTTTAGGCATCAGTTGATTCAGCAGCAGCAGTAGTTAAGGCGCACCGTAGGCACACCTTAGTTAAGGCGCACCCTAGTAGCAGCCCGCTGATTGCTTTTCGTTGTAGGGTTACTCTCAGGAACGGTGTCTTTCGCAGCGCTATGCTCGGCGCGCTTGCATGGCACTGAGCCGCGTGTCCCTCCGCAACTGCGCACTCCCTTCCGCCTCCGAACCGCGTTCCCATTGCCATCCCCTTCCCCTCCATCCCCTCTCCCTATCCAACATGCCCTCCTCCCCGCCTCGTCAATCCCAACGCTCCCCGCCAATCGGCGCACTCTCCGCTCCTTCCGTGCCCGCTGCCCCCCGCGCACCGTCCGCGTCCAACGCCGCCTCGCCCTCATCCTCCGCCTCCGCGGTCGCCAAGGCATGGGACTCCATACTGGGCTCAGACTCCCCCCCCCACTCCCCCACCTCCCCCGCGCCCGTCTCCCCCTGCGGTGGCGCCGGCGGGGGAACCAGTGCTGACGTGGCAAGTATCCTGGAGCAGATCTGCCCGTGGAACGCGGTGGAGTTTGGGTATCCGGGATCTCTTAATTACCGGTCGTTGCTGCTGGATTTTCAAGGGCAGTTAGTGTCGCCTTGGCACCACGTGCCGTTGCACGCTAAGAACGGCGCGCTTCACTTTGTGTGCAAGACGCCGCAGGACTCGTGGGTGCGCTACGAGACCGCTAAGGCGGAGGATTTCACCCCCATCCGCGTCGAGCGCGCGGCTTCCGCGGGTCCTTCCGCCGCTGGCGCGAGCGACTGCGCGGGGGCGGGGAGTGGGGCGAGCGCGCAAAGGGAAGGGGAAGCGGAAGGCGCGGGTGGTGAGGTTCACGTGAGGGGCACGGGGGGAGGAGCGGAAGGGAAGCCAGTAGGGCAAAAGGTTCCTCGTTATAGAGGGCTGCATTATGCGGAGAACTCGATATTCAACATCGGGTTCTTGCCGCAGACTTATGCAGATCCCGAGCAGCCTGTTAGGGCGGATCTAGACCTTCTCGCGAGCATGGCGGGCGGCGCAGGGGGGGCTGGGGGGGAAGGGGAGGAGTGGGGAGAACAGGGAGGGGCAGGAAGCGGGAGCGGGTCAGAAACGGAGTGTAGCTGCTCGGTATGTTCAGATAACGGTGCCGGTGGTCACAGCGGCTACAGTAGCGGTAACGGTAACGGTAACTGTACAACTAGAAGCAGCAGATTCGGGAGTGGCAGTAAGAGAGATGGCAGGGGCGGTGGTGGCAGTGCCCCCTGCACCAGTGGCCGAGGCAGATTTGGAGGTGACAGAAGCAGAACGAACGGCAGTTGCAGGGACAGCGACGGCCGGCATTCTAGTGGTGTCATCGGCTGTAGCAGCAGCAGCATCTGTGGCAGTGGCGCTGCGCGAATTAGCAACGATGCGACGGGGTGTGAGAGGGCGGAGGTGGAAGAGGATGGTAACCAGGTAAACCCTTCGTGGCGCCCGTCACTCCTGGTGAACGACGGGAAGCCTCTAGAGGCTATCGAGATCGGCTTAAAACGGATGCGCACTGGGGAGGTCTGCTCCGTGCTGCCCGTGGCCGTGTTTGCAGTGATAGAGCCCCGCGGCGAGGCGGACGACGGGGGGAACGGGCGCGAGGGGGAAGGTGAGAGGGAAAGAGTGAAAGTGATGGGGAGCGAGGGAGAACAGCCTCAGCAGCAAGGGCAGCAGCAGCGGGGAACGCACGAGCAGCAGCAGCAGAGGCAGCAGCAGGAGCAGCAGCAGAGTGGGGTGCGGGGAAGGCGCGTGGTGTCGTGGAAGCTGGTGGTGGTGTCAACGGAAGATGCTCTGGCGAGCACGCTGCAGGGCATGCACGCGCCCATCCCCGTGCTCGCTGGCGTGCTCGAGCAGATCCAGGAGTGGCTCCGCTTCTGCACCTGCGTGCTACCAGGTACACTCGCCCTCTCCCGCCCCTCTCCCTCTCTCTCGCACGCTCCCTTTTTGACCCCCTCCCTCACTCCCTCCCTCCCTCCCTCCCTCTCTCCCTCCCTCCCTCGCTCCCTCCCTCCCTCCCTCCCTCCCTCCCTCCCTCGCTCGCTCGCTCGCTCCCTCCCTCCCTCCCTCCCTCCCTCCCTCCCTCCCTCCCTCCCTCCCTCCCTCCCTCCCTCCCTCCCTCCCACCCGCATCTTCTTCACACCCCTCTAACCATTCCCCCCTTCCCTCCTCTCCCCCTCTCCCCCCTCGCCACCCCGTCCTCCCATACAGGCGACGAGGAGTGCGAGTTCGCTCTAGGCGACGCGCCAGCGAGCATGCAGGCGGCCATGGTGGTGGTAGCGCAGGCGCACGCGGCCTGGCAGCTGCTCTCGCACGACAGCCCTCCGCCCAGCCCCTGGCTGCCCTCTGATTGTATCCTCTCCGCCTCTGTGCTGCACCAGCACTGGCTGGATAAAGGCTACCTCTCGCTTGCCTCTTCTTCCTCCTTCTCCTCCTCTTCCTCCTCCTCCTCCTCCTCCTCCTCCTCCTCCTCCTCCTCCTCCTCCTCCTCCTCCTCCTCCTCCTCCTCCTCCTCCTCCTCCTCCTCCTCCTCCTCCTCCTCCTCCTCCTCCTCCTCCTCCTCCTCCTCCTCTGCAACAGACGCCAAGACAGCTTTCCTGTCAGCAAAAGCCTCCTCTCTCACCATCTCGCTCCCTCCCTACTCCTCCCAGCCCTCCCCCTCCTCCTCCCTCGCCTCCTCTAAGGAGTTCGTCCTCCCCTCTCCCCTCTCGCCTTCCCCCCTTGCCCCACCTACCGTACCCCTCTTATCCACCACTCCTGCAACTGCTGCTGCCACCGCTGCTGCCGCCACTGCTGCCGCTACCACCAGCACGGATTGCATGGCCCCATTGCATCCGCTCCCTGCATCCTCCTCCTTTTCCTCCTGGTCCTCCCCCATTGCTTCCCCATCCTCTGCTCTCCCTCGCCGTCTCCCCTCCTCCTCTCTCGCCCCCACTCCTAGCAAGTCAACTGATCTCTCCCTTCCTCCCCCCTCCTCCCCCTCCCCTTCCTCCACCCCCTCCGCACTCCTTTCCCCATCCTTCTCACCGCTCTCCTCCTGCACGCCCTCAAGCCCAGACTCTCGTATCTCCCGTCGGGCGCTGCGACAAGCCCCCTCCTTTTCCTTCTCCCCCACTCGTCCGCTTTCCTCCTCCGCGGCCTCCCCATCGTCTAACCTCACCGCCCCCCCTCCTGACGCCATTCCTCTGTCTGACTTTCGCATTTGCTCTGGCCGCAAGCATGATCGTATCTGGGCGCGTGCCTCTATCGACTCCCTCACTTCCACTTTTAACGAGTCAGGCCACAAACGAGGCGATAGGAGCATGGGGAGGGAGAGGGCAAGGGAAGGGTGTGGGGCAGGGGGCCGTGGAGGGAGCTTGGTGGAGAGAGGAGAGGGTAGGGGTGGGGCGTCGCGTCCTTCTCAGAGTGTGAGGGAGAGGGAGGGCTGGAGACAGGAGGCAGGTGGTAGGAGATCAGGAGGGGAAGCAGCGGGAGAAGCAGCAGGAGAGATGAATCGGAAATGGGGGGGAGGACGAGTGGATGACAATGAAAATCAGTTCCTGGCGAAGTGCGCAACTCCCCCGTGCTCTTCCTCCTCCTCTTCCTCTTCCTCCTCCTCCTTCCTCTCCTTTGCCCGCCTCTCCGCCACTCATCCCCGCAGTAAGCACAAATCAGTCTCATCAGATTTCTCTGCGGATTTCCAGTTCCAAGTGGCAAGGGCAGTGCATGAGGTTGGTGACGGTGCACACACAGGTTATGGGAAAGCCCGTGCTGCTGCTTCTGCCGCTGCCGCTGCCGCTGCTGTTTCTCCGTCTGTTGCTACTGCTGTTGCTGGTGGTGCTGCTGCTGCTGGTGCTGGTGGTCCTCCCCTGCCTAGTCCCTCCCCCAAGCCTCGCCACACGCGCCACCGGCCAGGATTTGGCAGCTTCGGCAGCAGCTTCGTTAGCAGCTTCGGCAGCGGGTTTGGGAGCAGCTTTGATGCTGCAGCAGCGGAAGGAGAGGGGAAGGGAAGCGCTTTTTATGACAGGGGTTCAAGCAGCCTCAGAAGCAGCCCTGTCTACTCTGCTACATCCACTGCCGCTGCTGGTGTTTCTGCTGATGCTCTTTCTGCATCCTCTTCCTCTTCCTCCTCATCATCCTCTTCCTCCACCTCCTCCTCCTCTGCTTCTCTCAAGTGGCGTTTCGGCGGTGCAAGGCACAGGAGAACAGGCAGTGCCAGCAGCCCGCTCTCTCTCCTCTCCCCATCCTCAACCTCCTCGTCCCCCAGTCCCCTCTTTGCCCCTGTAACCGCATCAGAGGCTTACGTAGATAACCAAAGAAGGTGCGGACGATGGGGGGCAGGAGGGGCAGTAGAGGAGACAGGAGTGGCAGTGGGGGGATCAGCAGGAGGCGCAGCAGGGCGGGCAGGAGGAGGCGGAGGGAGTGGAGTGGGAGGAGGGTTGTTGCCTGTATCAAGCATGCATCCGTTTCTTAGTCCGGACGAGAGGCGGTCAGGTCGCAGGCACTGCCGTACAGGCTCTTGGGCTGGTACCAGCTTTGCTGCCACTGCTTTTGATGCCACTTCTGCTGCTGGAGCAAGTGGGTTGGACGTGAGTGTGAGGGGGGTTGACCCGATCGGCACCAACGGCAACAGCGCCAGAAGCAGCTTCCGTAGTGCCAGTATGCGTGAAGGAGGAGCTGTAGGAGAAGGAGGAGTAGGCGGAGGGGGAGGAGGGGGAGGAGGAGGGAGAGGAGGAGGGGGGGGAACAGGGCGATGGAGAGGAGTGGCGAGTTCGAGCCCTTTATCTCCAGCCTCGGCTCGTTTCTTCTTCCCCAAGCCATCCAATAGCAGCCCTAGCAGGGAAGAGCATGGCACTGGCATTGGAGCCAGTAGCAGCAGCAACAGCAGGTCATTCCGGTCCGTTCGGTCACCAACACTTGAACGGATTTTCGGGCAGAGGAAACACCGGCGGGCAGGATCAGCGGAAAAAGATCTTGGGAGGGGTTTGGCGCAGGAGGATGAGGAGAGAGCGAGACGTTTGAAGGAAAGACCGCGAAAGACTGCTGCTGACGCGGCTACTGCAACTTGTGGTAGCGCTGCTGCTGATGGGTGTAGCTTTCTTGAGCTGTCTCCATCAAAACAAGCCTCTGAAGCACCGCTGCATGGTGGGCTGAGGGCCACACGCGCACCCCTGGAACGACTTACGCTGCTCATGCCCTCGGGGAGAGAAGAGCCGGCAGGGAGAATGGGCAACAACGGTCATTTCGATTCCACAGTTGCGTGCTCTGTCTATGCTGACACTAACCCTGCTGCAGCAGACAGCAGTGGGGCTTCCGTACCCGCTGCGTGTCCTCCTGGATTTCCGGGAGCAGCAGGTGGAGGGTCAGAAGGGCTCGTGGGGAGCGTGTTGGATGGTGTGTGTACAGCATGTGAGTCTGACGCCTCTTCTCCCTCCTCCTGGTCGCTCTCCTCCTTCCCAGGCAGTGTTGCCAGCAGCCTCTGCAGCAGCAGCAGCAACAACCTGCCTGTGTTAGCAGCAGCGGTGGCGGCAGCAGCAGCGGCGGCAACGGGGAGTGGCAGCCGTATGAGTGGATTGCGTGCTGGCTGGGTTGATGCTGCTGGTGCTGGTGGTATTGCTAGTGCTGGTGCTGGTGCTGGTGGTATTGCTAGTGCTGGTGCTGGTGCTGGTGGTATTGCTAGTGCTGGTGCTGGTGGGGCTGTCATGGAAGATCTTTCTGGTGCTGAGCCGCCCATTGAGCTTCAACAGCTGCCCTCTCAGCAACACCAGCAGCAGCAGTACCAGCAGCAGCAGCAGGCAGTGTCACTGCTGCAGCGCAGGAGGCAGCAGCACCATGCGTCTCTCACTCTCTCGCCCACGCATGTCAAGGGAAGGACAGTCACGGCTCCTCCCGCTGCCAACGCTGCTGCTGCTCCTGGGGGGCTAACGTCCGGGCGCCAGAACACTGCAGTGGGAGGAAAGCTGGGGGCACAGGAGTCTGATGAGCGTTTCTCCTGTGCTGCTGCTTCTGCCCATGCTGCCAGTGCTGCTGCTGCTGCTTGTGGTGCTGCAGGTGGTGCAGACGCTGTGGTTGTTGAGTGTGGCGTGGGACGCAAGGAACTAGGAGAGAGAGGGCTGGAGGGGGAGGTGAGGGAAGGGAGGTTGAGCGAGGAGAGCTGCACAAGTGTTACAGTGCAGGAAGAGGAGGAGGAGCAGAATGGGGGCATGCCCAGGGGAGGACGCGTGGGAGGGGGTGGTAAAACAGGGCGGAATGCTTCCATCTCACCTCCTTGTTTCTCCTCCAGACCAACCTCCGTACCCGTTCCCTCTCTCTCCCCATATTCCTCCGCGCCCCCTTCCCCACGCCGTTCTCTCTCCCCCTGCGCTACCCATTCCTCCTCCCCATCCTATGTCACCCACCTCCGCTCCTCCGCTCCCCCATTACCTTCCCACCGCTCCAGCCCTTTCTCTCCCTCCTCCTCCTCCTCCTCGCCTTCCTCCTCCTCTTCTGCTCTCAACGTGTCGGGCATCACTCACGCCGCCTCCCTTCCCGACTTACTCGCCCCGTTCTCGTCCTCCCCCTCATCGCACCCCCTGAGGCCTGCAATCCCACACACCCCACCAGCAGCAGCAGTGCCAATGGCAGCAGCAGCACGTGCTACAGGCCCCGTGGGGTTTCAAGTGCGTGCCCCAATCAGCCCCTCCGCCCGCCGCCCCCCCAAGTGCGGCTCCTCCCCTCGCCAGCCCATCGCTCACCCGCTCGCAACCCCCACTCCTAATGAATCAGCTGTTAACGAGTCCAGCACTGCAGCAGCTAGTGCTACAGCGGAGTGTGCCCCTCTCCCTGCTCTCCCTGCCCCACCTTCCAGTCTGCCTCCGCCGCTCACGGCCCCACCTAGAAGACAAGGGTCCAGGCGAATGGTATCCTTTCATGCAGTGGTGAAAGTGTATGAGTTCACAGAGGCAGAGGATGAGGAGGAATGATGATGGCGCTGACGAGCAGGAACAGCTTTGGCCCGCGGGCAAGTATCTGTAGTGGTGGCTGGCTGGCCAAATATGGTATGTTATACGCGGGGCGCTTTTATGTAGCAGTAGCCTGATTTGACTGTTCATATGAATGCTGCTATCCTCTTGTTGTCATAGGAGATTTATGTATGGTAGCCTAGGTGTACTCTGTTCTCAGACGCAGTGTGGAAAATATATCATAATATTTCAAGAACCATGCTAAAGCACCATGGCTTGGCTTGGCTACCTAACAGGTCTAGTGGTACATGTAAATTTTTAAAAGTGTGTAACACTTTTCAAATTTGTGTATTGTGAAAGTGTAGCGATTGCCAACGCAGCAAAGGCAGCGTCGCATCGCTACTCGCCCTCTTTTGGCTACAAAAGAGGGGGTTGAGGCCATTCGGCCTCACCCACGTTCTTCTTTTCAATTTCGAAGTTTGAGTTTTTCAATCTCGTCCAGTCTGGCGAAGACGCAGTCCCTCCCTCGCTTCACCGCCCTGACGACTCTACTTGCGGATATTTTTAAGTACAACATCGGAGCCATGGCGCCGGCGAACAACACTGCTAATCGCGAGGGCAACAAGGCGACAGACACTCCCGTCGCCGCGAACGCCAACATTCAGCCCAGGACAACCGCCCGTCGCCCGAAACGGGGTGCCGAGGAGTCACGCGAGGACCTCGCCACTGGCGTCGAGGTCCTGCTGGGCGGAGGCTCCCCGGCGCCTTCCGAGGAGCCTTCCGCCCCTCGCGCGGCTTCCAGGCAGCCGCGCAAAGTGGCGAAAAAGACAACCGCTGACGCGGCTGTCTTGACCACCACCTCGAGCCCCTCAGGCGCGCGTGTCAAGCAGCACGCGCCAGCACCCTCGAGCCACACGCCAGCCACGACCGAGCCCAACCCCCCGTTCAACCCGGCGCAACTCCAAGCACTACTGGCGCTGTTACAGCAGCACGCGCCTGTTACGGCGGGGACTTCAAAAAATGAGGACGCTACAACTTCTGCAAAATATGATAAGAAGAAAGAAGAAGCTCCCGCCGTCGCACCGCGCCCTCCCAAGACTGCCCGCATCGAGAAGGACCCGGCCCCCGCTCCCGTCGAAGATGACAGCGACGAGTCAGACGACGCTGATGGTGAGGCCTCCCCTCGCCGTCACAACCCAATTTTCACTCATGCTTCTTGCTCTACGCTTCCCCCCCTCAACCCCGCAACCACAAACTCCACGTTCAACCGCAAGGGCGTACGTGACAAGGCAGAGGTTTTCTCTGCTATCCAGGCCCACCTCAGGCACATTGAGTGCAAGCTCCAGCAAGGCGACGCGGAAGGCGCTCGCACCAACATTTCTCAAATCGAGTCGCTCATTAACAAGCGATTTGAGGTGCTCTTGGTGGCGGACGAGGCGGGCTTCGAGGCGGCCGATCGCTTCCAGCTCTACCAGTCCAAGAGTGTGCTGACCTCCCGTTCGTACAAGCTGGCCGTGGCCGACGTGGCCGCGTCGAAGCGCGCTCGTATGACCTACAACTGTCCCACCCGCGGGGGTGGCCTCAACGCCGGCGAACTCGGCAACAAAGGCTCCGGGCAAGGCTCTTGCCAGGAAAGGACCTTCAAGGGCACCTGTTTTCACTGCGGCCAGCCAGGCCACATGGCGAACGCCTGCCCCATGGGGGGGCGTGGAGGCCAAGGTCCCACACCCATGGTGTGAGGGACCAAAGGGCGGAGCCCTTGCCCCTTATGTCAAAGGGACATAACGGGGCTGCACCAGGGGGTGCAAGGCTGAGGAGCAGCCTAAGGAACTAAGGGCCAAGGGGCCCAAGGAGGAGCCCTAGGGGCCATTAGCTATTGGTGCATTGTGTACTTTTGCAAGAAATGATTATTATGGGATGATAAGTTGCCTACGGAAGTGTTTGTTGTTTTTAGTCCAATTTGGTACCTTGGGCTCAAGGATGGGCTGCACTATGATGTGGGCAACCAGCAAACAACCAGTGCAAAGCAAAGAAGAAGAAGAAAAAAAAAAAAAAAAGAGAAAAATCGAGCCAATGTTCATACACCTTAATACGAAATCAAAGGACGCGCGAGCCGCATCACGCATCAAGAGACCCATCAAGGTCCAGGAGTACCCAAGAAACAACATGGAGGGTTGTGCACTGTGTGGTTGTTAACACACACGTCTTAAAAACAAAGAGAGAGAGAGAGAGAGAGAGAGAGAGAGAGAGAGAGAGAGAGAGAGAGAGAGAGAGAGAGAGAAAGGGAAAGAGAGAGAGAGAGAAGAGGGCGAGAGAGCAAGAGAAAAAGCGTTGTCTCCCTCTCTTGTTTTTTCTCGGGCTCCACATTGCATAGAACATTTGGCTCCTGAACCGCACCCCACTAGGTGCAAGCCAAGCCGTGCCATGCAAAAAAAAAAAAAAAAAAAACTCAAGGTAGGAATCATGCAACCGCAACTCGCCCACGTGCGTGGATACGTGCGAGTGTCCACGGGGCAAGTCTTTCAAAACCCACCACGAAGGCCAGACCACACGACGGTCGGTCTCGAGGCAGTTCACGGAGCACAAGGGCATGTCATGCCCATAAAGGTAGAGAGAAAGAGAGAGAGAGAGAGAGAGAGAGAGAGAGAGAGAGAGAGAGAGAGAGAGAGAGAGAGAGAGAGAGAGAGAGAGAGAGAGAGAGAGAGAGACACTCACATGCACACACATACGCACCCACATGCACACCCACCCACACACCCGTACACACACACATACTCCCACACGCACATACACACATATACACACACACAGGCACACACACACCAACACACATAACACAAGGCACACGTACATCTACACACGTGGTTGCACTCGTGCAAAGGCACGACGCCCAAGAGCGCGGTCCACTGTTACCCAACTGCTCATGCACGCGCTAATGTTGTGGGATAGCCGATTGTGCATGAAAACCCCATGCAGAAATTAACAACCGTTGGATCGGGACGACGCTCTCAACATACGAATACACGATAACCGACAAGACAGTGTTTATAATGCGAGGACGGCTCCACCAAGCACTACACTGGTGGCGCTCCTGGTGCGATAGTAGCCTCATCCTGTCTATTATCTCACACGGATATTGGTTCCCATGGAAGGATGGGCCCCCGACACCTTTCGAAAGGAAAAACCACGCAGGCGCCCAGACGCATTCGGATTTCACACGCGATGCCATTTTGACCTCCTGCGAACAGGAGCAGCGGCAAAAGCTCCTGACCGATCAACACTACTATGCATTAGCCCACTCAACGTGGTCGAACAACGAGAAAAATGTCGGCTCATCCTCGACCTGCGGAAGGTCAACGAGCACTTGTGCATTCCGAAATTCAAGTACGAAGGCCTCGCCCAGGTAGCGGAGTTGATCCAACCGAACGATTGGATGCTATCGGTTGATCTCAAGTCAGGGTATCATCACGTGGACATCCATCCCACCTGCTGGAAGTACTTAGGATTCCAGTTCGAAGGCAACTACTACTTCTTCCAATCCCTGCCATTCGGTCTGGCCACGGCCCCTTTCATCTTCACGCAACTCATCAAACAGCTGGCCCGATGATGGCGATCTCTCGGGTGGCGGGTTATCCCGTATGTGGATGATATACTGATCCTGGCAGAGACCGCACAACAAGCGGGAGCCGCATGCGCACAGATCGTCAGGGACCTGAGGGACGCCGGCATTGTAATCAACGAGAAAAAGTCGCGTCTGGTCCCCACACAGGAGCTTCGCTTCCTCGGACTCGAGTTGAACACACAAGTCGGCAAATTCTCGGTCGGAGAAGAACGGCGCTCCCTGTTACGAGCGACAATCACAAGTCTCATCGATTCCGGACGCGCTGTTCACCACGTGAACGTTCGTCAAATCGCTCGAGTGACTGGAATGCTTGCTTCCATGAGCCTCGCTTTGGGCGCAACCGCGCGAGCCTTCAGCCACGAGCTATTGCAACTTATCAACAACGCGCCCTCATGGCACTCGAAAGTGTCGTTGTCAACTAAGGCCATCCACGAACTGCACTTCTGGGTGGAACGGTTCGACCGTTTCAACGGTGCACCATTCCATCATCCGCATCACTACGACGCCATCATCCAGGTGGATGCCAGCGCGCACAGCTGGGGTGCCACCCTCTCTACTTTTCACGGAACACCGAGCAACGCAAGCGCTGGCATGCCCGACAACCTGTGGCCAACCTCAAGTACGCGACGCGAGTTGGAAGGCGTGCTCTGGGCGCTACGCACCTTAATGGACCGTCTTCGACACGGCCACACGTTGGTTTGCGTGGACAACCAAGGGGTCATGTTCATCCTACGAAAAGGCGGCTCGCGCAATAATGAGCTCACGCTCACTTGCAAAGAGATCATCACTCTATGCACGGACAACGCGGTGCGACTAGCCATCGAATGGATTCCCAGAGATCATAACACTTGCGTGGACGAGCTCTCAAAGCTGCATGACCACGATGACTACACGTTGAAACAACCTTGGTTTCGTCTCTTGGACCGTCGGTGGGGGGCTCACTCCGTCGACCTGTTCGCAAATGCACAGAACGCATTGCTGCCTCGTTTCTTCTCTAAAGTCCCTCACCCGCGAGCCGAGGCCATCAACGCATTCTCCAAGGATTGGCACGGGGAACGGGGCTTCGCATTTCCGCCCCCCCACCTCGTCCCTGCAACTCTCCATCACGCGCGTCGCACACGGGCAAAGCTAACCCTGGTGATCCCTGAGTGGTCAGGGGCAGCCTGGTGGCCCCTAGTGCAACCGGCCCCTCAAACATGGGCCATAGGAATTACTAGCCACCTTCGCCTCGGAAGCGGGAGTCAGTGCCTCCAACCAGGCACACACACTGCCGCATTCTCAGGCACTGGATTTCCCAATAGCCTGATTATTGCATTGTCCATTGACTTTACAATGTAACTCATATATATTCCATGTATGGCAGATATATTATCCAACCTTCAAAAGCAACTCCTCTCGG